ATTATTTGATGTTAGTCTCTTTTTTTGCTCTGCCTCTCCTTCCTTTCTGCCTTGGAAGTCTGGAGTTCAGGTTTAAAACCAGAGATGGGGGGAAGACACTTAAGCATCTCTGACCCACAAGTTTGTCCAAGGTCTGCTTTTTGTTTAGAGCTTCGGTAGTGCTGCTTGGTTACTTTTATTTTGTTGTTTTTTTTAAAGAGCATTGATTTGTGATAGCTGCTGCTTAGCAGTGAATTTTGCTCACAAGGGCTTTTTTTCTCTCATTAGCTCTTTAGGAATTTGAGTTTTCATTTTCTTGGACAGCCTCGGTGTTGTTAGACTTTTGTTGACCTGTTGCCATGCAAGGAGGATGTAAAACTCCTCAGATGCCAGATCTCTGTCCTAAAATGTGATCGACCTAACGTGTACAAAGATACTGGTTTTGATATTTTTAGTTTCTTACAATTGTTATGGTGTGCCCTGGCCCAGGAGTATTTAAAACTCTGGAATTTACATATAAAAATACCAGCTTCGCCACCAAGAAAATCAACCAAACAAAAAAACTACCGAAATGCTTGCCTTAGGCTCTTCATTGTTATTCAGTGTGCATGTTTTCAGCTGGCTTCAAAAACTGTGAGGCATAATAGCACAGGTAGTGCCAGACTGAGATTCTTTGCTTAGTCTACTTATTTTTTCTGAAATGTTATCTGAGTTAAATACTGGAGGCTTTTTAAAATGGTGAAATGAAAATGATAGGGATTGTTAATTTACTGGACACCTGGAAAATAGGTTCTATTTGAAAAACAAAACAACCCAGTCTTGAACCATCATTTGTCCCAGAAACATTGATGATGTCTTGACTATTTGAAAGTGCTTGTTTTACATTGAGGTCAATAAGAGATGTGGACTCTTGAGCATTCTTTAAAAAATTAATTCAGGAAAGCCTTTGTTTCCCCTCCCCTACAGAAATAGTATGTTATCACTCCAGGCTCCTGAATTAAGGTTAATTTAAATCAGGATGAATCAAATCAGTTCCTATATTTAAGTTGTTAAAGCATGCAGATTGCTTTCTTTCTCTGAGAAGCTACTTGGAGCTTTTTGCCATGTTCTCCCCCTGCCCATAAAGCTCCAGCCAAAAGTGTCTGCTTTTGTGTAAGAATTGATTCTGTAGACTGGAGGCATTTGACAGACGCAAGCTGTAAGGCCTAATTATTACGTCAGGACATTACTAAAATCTTTAATTTCTCCACTGTTTTCCCTGTGTTCCTCTTTCTCTGACGAACCAGCTAGTGCAAGCAGATTTCAGTACTTTTGACAGGAGAATAATATTTTGAATGAGATCCATGGGCTATTGTTAGCCTTTGTCTTTTTCTTCGTCATAAATCATAGCAAGGAGGTTTTCCACCTGCCCCAAAAATTTATCTTATTACTGTTCCAGTTAAGTTTGCAGTGCTGGTTTAGCTATGTTTGTGTCATTCTTTCCATAATAGCCATGGATGTTTCTTTTCATTAGGATTTATAACTTGTGCAAAAAAATATCTGTCTTCAGGTTACTCTGTGTTCCAGCCAGGACACTGTATTTTTACCTTAGTTTGAACTAGTTTTGTCACTTAAAATAGAGGAGGGCAAAATAAAGGAAAACTGGACACTTTGTGCACTCTTGAAAATCCCTCACAGGCATGCAGTTCAAACATGACATTTTATGGCTTGTTAGAGTCTCATGTCCAGTGCAATGGAAAGGACTGAGCTAGGGGGAGTTGATGAGAGGTGCCTGTTTCTCCTCTGGACAAGTTTCACCGGTGGCTTTAGCTGGCTGGTTGCTGCCCTTATTTGCTCCTTCTGTTTAAGCACCACTGCTGCAGAAACATTGTTAAGACTGATTATTTGCTAAGGTAATTGAAAGGTTTTGGGTTTTCTCTTTTTTTTTTTTTTTCCTTGTAGAATATTAATGTCAACACCAGGGAAGAAGTGCTTCATTTGGCAGTGGAGTGATTTTAAACTGGCTCACTTAGACCAGAGAAGATCAGTCCCTGCCATAGGAGCAGCTTCTTAGATTGATTTCCAAACTCCCAATTCAGGGTATTGATGTGCTAAGAGATCCCCAAACCAGAGCAAATTTTCTAGAATTCTTGGTAATTCAGCACCTGCTGCCTGATGAAAGGATGGAAACCTCTTTGAAAAGGATGCAAAAATTGTATCTGCCATTCCTTGGCTTGGTGTGTGCTCCTGTGATGGACCATGGGATTCTGTGGAGCACACAGAGGGAAGGAAACCATTACATCTTTAGGTGCTTGATTAGTGCAGAGACTCAGTATACTCTGAAAAGTTCCCTGAGAAGATCAGCTTTATGATGTTTATGATGAGGGATTGCAGAGACCCCCTGTTGTCAGGACAGAGTGGTGACAGGGTTGCTTTAGAAAAGTCCAACTGAGCTAAAAGAGCTTTGAAAGAAGGCTGCCTGCATTCAGATTGTTTTCCATGTTGTCTAAGTGCATCTTCATCCTGCTGACCCTTCCTTTGTGGTGCAGCTACTTTGCTAATACCATGTAGTATTAAACCTTTGAGTAACATTGAGCTTGGTGCCTGCTAATGAGCTGAAATGTAGAGATGCAATTTTCCTGTGACAAATTTGTGTGTGAATTTGAAAGTACTACTTCTGTACAGCAGTCTCTGTGAGGCCAAGGGTAAACACACATCACCTATGAAATTAAATGACACTGTTTTTTGGGAAGAGGCTCTTGAGCTGGAGCTCCTTTAATATCATAGAAAAGCCATGAAGGCCCTTTGGTTTACAGATTTGGGTTTTTTTTCCTTCATCTGAATGCATTGAGAGTTCAGGATGAAATTTTAATGGAAGGCCTGAGGAGAGGAATTTCATTCCATTATAATTTATGATGTTTTTTTTCATTCTTTTAACCTGCTTTAAGAGTTTAATAGAACTTAGTTTTGTCTCCTTTGTTTTTTCTTTTCAGTAACTTTCATGGGATTTTTAATTTTGGTCTAAGCTCATTTTTAGCCTGTACTTACGCGTTTCAATAGCCACATGATATGGCCCAAAGTCACTTCTAATAGCCACATTTTTCTTCATCCAACAGTCTATCATTTGTCTGTCTTTATTCCTGTAGAGATGCAGGTGGTGCAAGCTAGTGCAGAAGAGCTGGATCAGACAACTGATTAGACCTGACCAAAAATGGGTATTTGGCCATATCAGTTTCACAGTGTGATTCAGCAGCTGGTTGTGCAGACAGGTTTTTTTTATGTCTGCTTTTCTCTGTCTTTAGTTGTTTGTCAATAGCTGCTTCCCCACACAGTCCGAGTTGCCACAAATTACAGCCTGACTTGTTAAGGAAAACCAAAATGAGTGGCAATTTACATTCATAGGTTGTCCTCTGAACTGGGGCAGCTCTCAACTGCTGCTGCTGCTTTTTCAGGAGCTGTCAGTCTATCCTGGTTGCTGGAGCTGAGGAAGCTTTGGGAAGGCATCTGGGGATACGAATGTGCTTCAGCCACTCTAATGTGAGCTATCTCAGAAACTGGCGGACTCACCTGTGTGGAAGGTTTTTATTTCAATTAGAAAACTTGTTTGACCTCACACTCAGGTGTATTGTGATACAAGTGAGCAATTTCTGTCTGGTTATCTATATTCCCCTCTTTAGTGAGGTAAACTGCTCATTACTGTATATGCTGCTGTGTAGGTGCTGTGACTGCCCCAGAACTGGAGATCTGCCTAAATTGGGGTGGAGGATGCACATGGAGATCAGAGCATTTTAAGGTTAAGTGTGTTGTGAGGGACATGTACTGGTGATAACTGTAGAGCTGCCTGCTCCTCCTTGGCTGAAATGATGGCCCCAGCTGCAGGTAAAGCAGCTGCAGGGCCTCTGCAGTTTGCAGGAGGGTCTTGCTGTGCAAAGGGGAGATCACCCTGCAGAAGAACATGACAGCAATTACAGATGTAGTCCCTACGTCATCCCTGAAGTGTGAACAGGATTCTCTCTCATAAAATAAAGCATAAAACTTTTTCTTGTATAAGTGTGTTTTCACAATCCATGTTCATTGACTTCCTTTGTGGTTCCTACTGTGATTGCACAGCAAGTGCTGTTTTCTCAGGGGAGCACAGAGTCTGAGATAATCCAGGTTATGAAACATCTGGCTAAGCATTGTGCAGGACTGAATAGATGTCTCTGTTCCACACTTTTCTGGAACTCCAGTGTTAGGAGGTCTTAGCTCAGATGCAGTTCAGTGCTCTTGCCCAGCTGGTGCCATCTGGTGCTCCTGTTGATCTAATACTGTGTGGGGAACCTGGGGAGGTGATGGGTGCAATGCAGATCCCTGGTTATGTTTGAGAGCTCCTCAGGGCAAAGGTTTTCTCACACAGAGCTATGGCCCAAAAGGCTGTAGTGGCATTGGGGAAGCAGTGTCCTTTCTCTGAGCACCCTCAGGCAGCTGTGCTAGGAGCTGCCTGTGTTGTGTTTGCTACTTAAATTGTCCATTGGTGGAGTGACAGGGAAACTGGGAGATGGATGGGAATGGGAAAAAAAATACCCAAAAATTTAATATCTTTCTAAGTTTCATGGATTCATGATTTATTTTTTGACAGAAACAAATTTCAGAACACTTGATTTTATTCTTTTTTTTCCTTTATGGATTTGCATAATGAGGTTAAGCTGTGCTCGTTGCCTTCTTGGATAGTTATTCAGAATGCGATATAGGATATTAACTTGTAGTCACTGACCACACAAGGATGATACTCAGTTGTAAATGCTTATAACAATCAGATACTGCTCAGCATTGGAAGAGAATGGTAAATGCACAGAGGCAAAACTTGTGAGATGATTTCATGAAGGACTTACTTTGAGGCCTGTGGGCCTGGGGTTTGATTTGCTTTAATAAGTGTGTAAAAGTTTTGGGAGTAAACCCTGGTGTCTATACCCCGCTCTATGTATGTACCACTGCAGGCTGTGCAACGAGCTGCTATCCCAGCATGTCTTGTGGCCTCATCTGTGTGTGTGTGTCTCTTTCAGATACATGTACTGGACGGACTGGGGTGAAACACCCCGAATAGAACGGGCAGGAATGGACAGCAGCATGCGAAAGATAATTGTTGATTCTGATATTTATTGGCCAAATGGACTCACGATAGATCTCGACGAGCAGAAACTTTACTGGGCTGATGCAAAACTGAGTTTCATTCATAGGGCAAACCTGGATGGTTCCTTTAGGTAAGCTCTCTTTTGTCTATAATAAGGTCTAAGTTTTTTGTCACTTGCTGTGTTCATTTTGAAATGAGACTTTTTTCCCCCCAGTAGTCTAGAATAATGCAAATACCATATTTTTTAAAATGCAGTTCTTAATAACCTTGCAAAAAAAACCCCTTCACATACTATAAAACTGGTTTTAAGAGAAAGAGTGTTTGTGTCAGTATTTCACTATAGACTGTTCACAGCCTTCTTGTACAGCAGGATTCTTCTTTTTTAGGCTCTTACTTGTCTTGAAAATAGTTGGAAATGTTTATTCATGACCCTAGAAAATATGACATTTAACCTTGACTGGGATTTTACAGTATTTTTAATGGGGTTTTTTTTTGCCAACGAGAAATACACATTGAGACACACTTGTCTGTGGCCTCATCCAGAGATGTCCTTTATGTCATGGCTATTAATTAACCAATTTTGGGTTGTTTCAAACAACAAGCTGTTAGGAAACAGATTTTCCTAAAGTTTGCTGGAAAGCACAGTGTGGAAGTTTTTTGGTGGCTGCTGTCCAAGTGTGCTGTTAAGTTTTGGCTTCTGTAGGCATGGAGAAATGACACTTTAGGCAGGGCAGACTTAGGCATTTGAGATTGCATCTTCAGTTCAGTGCCGTGCTCAGTGGGCAGGTTGTATTGGTCCTGAAGGGTAAGTGTCACATGCAGTAAAATGTCCTGCATTTTACATTGAAAGAAATCTCTGCACTGTTATCTGGCTCTGGTCTTCAGGTGGTTTTAAATGACATTTTCATTATTTCATAACATTGTAAATGCCTGTGTCAATAAAATTGTTTTGCCCTGGTGAAAAGTTGGAGGAGTTCTATTTTACACATTTCTGTGTAATAGAATAATATGTCTTTCCCCCCCTCAAAAAAATGTTTCCATGGTGTTTTTATTTTTTTTTCTACTGAGTTACATTCTTTGCCTGATTTTCACAGTCATAAAAGAGCAATAGCAATATTGACATCCTTTATAAAACATTCTCAAGTTCCTTTGAGGGCACTGTGTAAGAGCTGGATAATGGTGGCATTGTAGTAAGTGACAAGTATTGACTGACAGTCCAGAGCAGAGACGAGGGAAAAGGCCTTTGTGGAAGGCAGTGGTAGCTCCAGGTTTGTAGACAGAAAAAAAGATTTTCAGCATGAATATGTTTCTCTGATTTGGGGGTGAGTGGCAGAGTTTGAGGTTTCCAGGCTGTTTCTGGGGTTTTCATGCACATACAAATTATACAGACTTTACTTGCATATGTGTGTAAATCTTGAAGTATGAATTGGCAAGTAAAATCTATTCTGCTCATTTTAAGGTAGAGAAAGGCCACCTGAAAGGAAGCAAGACTTTGAATAGACCAATTCCAGCAATCTATTCAAATTACTTTATGATAGATCAATGCCCCACCTCCAAACAAATTCCTGTTGAAGCATAAATCAAGTAGTATTTGAGGAAAAAATAATGTATTTTGCATTAAGAAAAAAATGGCTCACTCCTGCATATTTTACTGAGCTGCTAGAGCATGTAAATGCACACTTGAGGTCAGAATATCCCTGTACAGGGTGCATTCTGGAAGTCCCTGATGTGTGACTTTACATGAACTTTTAGGTATTGTCCAACATAATAACTCTGAAAGTGTTACAGATATTGATAAAATGCCATGAAGATTGATCTTAATCATAACTCCTTTTAAATGAAATTTTTATTTATTCCCTTTTCCGTTCCACTGATCAATGTTGAAACAGTTGTCTGTGAAGCTGGGACTCCTGGATTCTGGTGTTAAGGTGTACTTCAGTAAGGGCTCAGACTGGATGGTAACTTTAGAAATTTTTTCTGTTCCTTAAACATGGAGCCAACAAGTTTCACTCATCCATGACAATAAAGAAATCTGTGATGTTTCAAATGCTTCCAACCCTCCCATCCCAGAATCCATTCAGGATTACCTCAAAATTTAAATAAAAAGGAAATTTGCATTCTGTGTGGTGGATTAATGTTACTGGAGCAATCTGCCTCTTAGCAAGCTTCAATTTGCAACCACATTTTCTGGAAATATTTCAAGGGATGTAATTACAGGAGAAAGGGAGACTTGATATCTAAGAATGATGGAAATAGGGGCAATACATAGTGGAAAGCAGCTGTTATGATATTAGGATACAGCCACTGCTGTTATTAGTTAAGAGGGAAGAGCAATGTGAGAGTGGAAAGAGAAAGTGAAATTAGTATTTGTATTTATTCTGTTGTGTTTTATGTTAAGAAGTAGTGGCAATTAGAATTTTTAGAACAGTTTCAATTTTATCTCTAGAAGAGAAAGATTATTAATAATTTTGTTTTCTCATGTATATGCTGGTATTTTTGTGCATGTGTCAGTCCATTTTAAACTTGTCCATGTCTGAATATATATATCAAGAATTTTGGAGGTATTTTTTATTCCCTTCTACCCTGGAAAATGCAGATAATTACCTATGCTGCTCAAAATGAGAAAGAGTCCTTTCCCTGCCAAATGTTAGGTGTTTTTTGTTTTTCCTTAAACATCTTCAGTGGAAAAAAAATTGAAGGCATATTTAATAGAGGTATAAGAAAATTAAGTTTCTCATTTTCCTTCAGGATGAGACTGCGATTTCAGCTTTTTCAAAGTCATTTGATGAAAAATTCTGAATAATGCTTTGCTGTGTCACCACACTGGTTTGAAAGGTGTGTGCATACCTTTGTGTAGACATAAAATGCATGGATTTTATGAAAACTGAGTACCTAGTGTTTTGACTGAGGAATTGTCCAGCATCTTTGACTCATTAAATATCTTCAAAACTACTGATTCTAAATTATATACATTTATTGCAACATGTGTAAACTTTGGGATCCTGTGAAGATATGTTAGAAATGTCATGTGTTTTGTGGCTTCCAGTTCATCTAATTCTTGGAGGTGTGGCTGTATGTCATTGAAAAACCATCTCAAATGTTTCTGATTTGTATTAATTATAAATATTTAGTTTTAGGAAAAGCATAACTGACCTTTGCTCTACATTAAAAATTAGTCTGAAAAATACTTCTGCTGAAGACAAAGTTAAGAGGAGGTCATTTAATGAGACTCCTAGGTAATTTCTGCCTTTTTCTCCTGGAAGAAAAGACTGAGTGCAACTGAAGTTCTGAACAAAGATGTCATATACTGCTGTAATCAGAGGAGCGCTCTTTGGACCTAAGTTTCTTTGAAAAGTCACTTGTGTTTGGGTATTTGCACAGCTCCTGAAGTTAAGGAACTTAAGGGGTCAGTGTAGAGCCTGAATCAGATACTTTGATGCTCTGAAACCCAATATGTTTGTGTCCTTATCGCTATGAAGGGATAAAACCTTATTTTACATTTTTCAGTCTGCTTGTCACTTTTATCACCAGGTGAATCGCTTGGTGCTGTGAATTTGTTGAAGGACGACAATTCCTACATGAGTTTCTACAGAGCCAGATTTTTTCATGTGTGTGTGTGTGTGGTAACAAGTGCAAGCAATCAATTTTTTAATCCTTACTCTTTCTCCCAAAAAGGCAAAAAGTTGTCGAAGGTAGCCTTACTCATCCCTTTGCCCTGACGTTGTCTGGGGACACTCTGTACTGGACGGACTGGCAGACGCGCTCCATCCACGCCTGTAACAAAAGGACAGGAGAGAAGAGGAGGGAGATCCTGTCTGCCCTCTACTCGCCCATGGACATCCAGGTCCTGAGCCCGGACCGGCAGCCCTACTGTACGTCCTGCTTGCCCTCAAACCCTGTATCACTGCTGCTCTCTGTCAGGGACAGTGTCAGCCAGGAAAGTGGCCAGCGTGGAGTTTCAAAGTTACAAAGGATTGGTTGCCAGAGATGCTTGAATCCTGTGCCTTGCTTTGAGTATTCTGGCCCACATTTGTGTGAACTCACTTATCGGAGCTCAAAATGTCCCTCAGACATTTTTGAAGGTTCCGGGCCCAGGTCAGAAGCATTTGAGACCCTGGCAGGCAGCTGGAAACAGCTGTGATTTTGGGTTTGAACCATGGAATGATTTACCAACCTTGCAGGAGGAACAAGAAGTCACAAAAGTTTAGCTATTATAATAGAAGTAGTCACAAATTAGAGGGAAGAAATATTGAGTGCTGTACAGGGGGGTTTTAAGTCCTGTACAGGGGGTTTTTAGTTTTGTACATGGGGGTCAGAAGTTTTAAGATGGAGGGATTTGCGTCTGTCCTGTCACCCCTCTTTCTTCTTCCTTACCTCCATGTTCTTGGTGATGTTGGTACTCACAGATTGGTTTAGAGTAGAAAAGCACATTGTAACATAGATAGTAGGTATTGGGGAAAATCTGTAAACATATAACACATAATATATCATATAAAAGATAGCAGCAGCCCTAGGCAGGGGGAGAGAAGAAGAAGACAGCAGACAGAGAGGGTGTCAGGGGTGTGTGTGCCTCTGCCTGAGCTGCTGACCAAACCACAGTAGCCAGAGAAGACAATCTTTTAGATAGCTTGCAATAAACTGCCTTGAGACTGAACAACAGAAACTACTGAGCCTTTCTTTGGAAGCACGGGTCGGAGGAGAGATTTTTCCACCACATGGAGCCACCCCCGACCTAGGGTGGTCTTCGGCATTCATTCACTGTCCCAGTTGGTAGCAAAATCCAAAATCCAGTGCAGTACTTCAGTGACTTTTTTTGGTTTGGAAAATTTGAACAAGAACAGTACCAGCTTACCTGGCATCTTTGTAATGCCATTGCTTTAAAGACAACTGTAAGAAATACTTATAATTACTTTTTTTAGTAAGTAAAATTGCCACAAAACATATAATGTTTGTGTTGTACTAAGAAGTGCCATTTTTGCAGTCCAAACTTGATCATGGTTGTCTTAAATACATATCAAATAGTTTGCACATGTCTTAGTATGGAAGGGTTTTAGTTTTGAGCTTTCATATGAACACACTTGTGCCTCTATTTTTCTATATATTCTCTGGTGCTACTTCAAGGGAAGTAGAGTATTGAAAATTGAGTAGAGCTGCATATATTTTGTATATTCATGTGATTCCATGTGGCAGCTGGTCTAGGTTTTAGAGTTTTTTTAGGATTGTGAGAATGGGACTTAAAATCAGTGTTGTAAAATGTACATAATTGAGTAGCTCTGGGAAGAATCGACCCTTGTCCAGAGGAAATACTTTTGCCATTTGGACTGGCTTCTTTCTTTATGCCAACTCTAAAATCTGCTTCCTTAAAGATAATATTTCTTATTCTAATGAAGTTAATAGGATGTGAATAAACAGGCCTGAAAGTAAGCAAAAGGAGTTTGGAGATCATCCTGGGGATGTGCAAATTTTCCTTGAGGTTGCTGGGTATGCACAGCACCCTGGTCTATCTCACAGTTCAGATAAGAGTTTGTCTGTGCTGAATTCTTGTCATTGCTTTTAGCTCCAGGAATGTCCCAGCCTTGGGTCATAGTATTTGAGTCAGTCACAAAGAAAATACAGCACACGGAAAAAGAGCATATGCTGAAAATAGCTCAGATGCCATTGACTTCATTAAGATCAGGCTTGGATTCCTTCCTCACCATTTCTTTTTTTTGCTCTTTGAGTGTCAGTGGAAGTAACAAAGGTCAAATCAGCCAGACATTTTGTGCTTTTATATTAAAGTAGTTCAGATGATGATTCAAACAACAGTTTTGCAGAAATCTTGCAAAAGTTGCAAGTATTTTTTATAAATGCAATTTTTACCAATAATTACTTATTAATACAGTTTCATGTCTTTTTTCCTCCTCTGAAGGAGAAAGGAGTGTTCAGTTGTCATATGTCCATCCCTGTACATGCAACAGTACTGTAATGTAGGAATTGTACAGATTGTTGTTTTCTTTTCTTTCATAGAACTGGTCGTCCCATCAGTTGCATGCATCTCAATTTAGGTGCCCCTAGTGTTAAGAGGCTGGGGTGGGAGGGAAATCAAGCATTTTATGTTGTTATTCCTCTGCTTTTTAGCACTAAAGCTTATGCCAGTCATTTGGGATCTGTAATTTCTTCCTCATGGAAAAAAACAGAGCTTATGGGGTTCTAGAAAAATTAGAATAAATCTACTTTTTTTCTTGAAGTTCACACTCCATGTGAAGAAAACAACGGTGGTTGCTCCCATCTGTGCCTGCTGTCTCCGAGGGACCCCTTCTACAGCTGTGCCTGTCCCACTGGTGTGCAGCTGGAAGACGATGGCAGGACATGCAAAGCAGGTAGGAACTTGGCTTTTTTTCTATAGTCACAGTGTTGGTGTGATTTGGGTTCACTGCTTCAGAGCTGATCCTTGAAGAAGTGAGTTGAGAGGAGCTGCCTAAGAAACTGAAATGCCATTTTGCATTCAGACCTTCCACCAAGCTACCAAAGTGATTTTTATGAACTAAAGTAATCCCTTGTAGCAGAAATCAGAGGCTTTTGTCTGTGTTTAGGGTTGCCAGTTCTCTGTAGGAATGAAGTAGTATGTGAAACCCATTGCTGAAGGATTTTATTAGAAGTAAATTAATGTAGGGCATCTTTCCATTTGGACAGTGGAGAAACTTCTGCTCCCTCCCATTCATTGTCCAGAAGAGATCTATGATAAAGTAGTACTGGCTGAGTTGTTGAGAGAGCTGAGAAAATGTTGTTCTAGGTGAGTTGCCCATGTCCCTTAGAAGTAGGACAGGATTGAATATCACCAATAAGAAGCTGTTTAGAAAATATAGCTAGAGTATATCTTTTATTGGAAAGTGTAACTATATGTGTATTTTGTAACCACAGGTTGAATGAGCCTTGTGGTATACTTGGAAAACTTGTTTTTCGTTGATTGAGAAGTCTTTTTAAATGATGCATCTTACAAAAGCAGGCAACTAACACTGATATGGTGGTAGAACACTAGGAGGCAAGGTTTTGGAGAGTGTTCTGCTGACTCTGCTGCCTGTCTTCAGTGTGCTTTTGAGTCTAGTAAAATATTATAGTCATTTTCTGATGTGGCTTGATTCCCCTGTATACTAGAGCACTCATAAGAGATGCCTTTCATTTGTGAACCAGAAGCACAGTTTAAACACTGAATCTCCAGGGTTTAAGGGCTGGTTTTATTAGCTCATCCTACTCTATTTGAAAGGCTTATAAGGTAATTTTGCAGCTGCTAAGAGACTTTTCCCTTTACTCCTTCCAGCTTTGGAAAGTTTCCCTTTTGCAGCTTTTAAAAACCCCTCCCTGAATGCTCAGGACAACCTTTTTAGACGTTCATATTGCGTGTTTCTGGCAGTGGCAATGAAGGTCAGACTGCTTTTGGCATTTTGGCAGATAGCACAAGTAGGACTGACTGCTTATACTGTGCTTTCACCTTTCCATTGTCAGGCCAGACAGTCTGCCTAGGGTTTTCTGTCAAAGGAGGGCAAAAAAGTGGGATGAGAACAGGAAATCTGGTTTTGCATAAGAATGTAGCTTTTTCGTTCAGTTTTATGGATTATTTCTTTCCCAAGCTCCACATCTTTTGTTGCCCTGTGTGCCTTTTGCCAGCATCCATGTGCTTCTCCTTCCCATCTTGTTAATTAACTCCTTGGTTGCAAGGAACTGACTTTTTGTTCTCCACATGAGCCCTTTGTAGTGATGTTGTAGCAGGAGCTGCAGATCCATGGGTGTTGACCACCTTCATTTTGTTCCCTGTTGGCTTAGGCAGAGGTGCAAAAGTACAGAGTCACTTGAGCATATGAGCTTCTTTGATTTCAGGCTGTTAAGTGAATCACACAAAAGCTGCTGCTGTGGGTTTATATGCAGAAGGAAAAAGCATTCTGTTCTCCAAATCCTTGTCCACATGGGGAGTTTACTGGTGCAAATATAACTACAGAATGTTATTGTATATATCTGTCAGAAAGAATTCTTGACCAGAAGAGCCCTGGAGTGCTTAGGTGATTTTAGCTCTCTTGAATATTGAAGTATACATACATTGGTAATGTTCAGATGAGAGCAATCTGTAGCTCTTTACAAGTGGTAAAGGGCCTAGGTAATTAACGAAAAATAGGAATTCAAGGACAGGCTGTGCCAGTATTTGCCTTGCTGAGTTACACCTGTATGTAATGAAACTCTGAAACTCTGGGTTTTTATACCTTGACTAAACTAATCATTGATATGCTGGAACCTTAAGTATTGTGCCTGTGTTAAAATAATAGTTCATTTTCCTGTAGTTTTAGCTTTTGGTATTCATTCTTTCTTTCTCTCTGGTTCTAAAGAGTTGCTCTGAATAACTTTTTTAAATTACCTTTACAATAAATATCCATCACTAATAATGGATGATAGATAGATAGATAGAAAGAAACAAACTGGCATCAAGTGTATGTTCTCCTCTGGGAATATGTATGTGTTTTGTGCAGGTGAATTTATTGTTTTGCAGACCCATGGTGCTAGGTATGTTTTCCTCTGTTGGACTGAAAATGGTCTGCAATACCTTGAAGCTTCCATATCAGCAAGCAAGGGGATTATAACTTTGGAAAGTAAATCAGCTGCTCCTGACCATGTCCTCTTAGTGAAGTGAACATTCAAGCTCTGGTCTTTGAAATTACTCAGGAGGTTGTGTTGGACCACTGCTGTCTTGTAGGATGTGTCAAATGCATGATTTTAGATAGGTGTGTAAAGCTCATCTTGCTGGCATAGGAGGTGATGAAGTCACAGTTTGTAAAGCCTGTCAGTCTGATGGTTCTGGTTGTGCCTGTGGAGGGTGGCCTGCTCAGTAGGAACTGGCAACACCTTGTAACTTTCAAGAATAACTGACTAGTGAAATTTCATGTCCCCAAATGGAGTTCTTAGACTAGGTAATTTTCTTGAGTTGTGTTTTGTTTGGGTTTTTTTTTTGGGTTTTTTGTTCATTTGTTTGAAAACAAAAGCTGACTTGAGTAATTGCATGAATGTTTGAGAAAGGAACCAAAATTTGGTTGCAGTCATTTAGAAGGGTTGTGTAATTCTGCCAGCGAATAGGCCAGTTAAAAGCAGAGCAAAAGGGTGGAAGTTTCACAAGCTTGGGGACCTTATTTAAGTAATTTTGCTGATTTAGGACTGCCCTGAATTTTTTCTTGCTTTCATTGTTTAAGGATCACATTTATTTTCTTAATGAACAGAATTATTTTGATTCATGAGTCTTCTGTTTGTGTGCAATGTCTCCTTTCAAGAAGCTGTTCTTTCTCCTCCTCTCCTGGGGCTCCCTTCCTAGGATTTAGTGAGTTCTGTTGTTGGGCCAGTGGTAGTTTGTAGTGTTGTGAGAAAGACAAATGTATTAATGGCTACTGTCTCATCTCCAGCAGTGAATTATTTGCTCCATTTTTACCTTGCAGGGCAGAGACTTCAGGTGATACCTATCACCTTTTTGAGCAGATGCACCTTCCTCATGCTTCTCATTTTCCACAGTGCACAGTGAATGACATGAATTTATCTCTTTCTCACCCCAACTCTGGTATAATTTGTACCCATTAAAGTGAATGTTTCCAGATAAAATGGAGCCGGATCTTTGCACCCTGTTCTGCTTTTGTGGAGCAGGTTTGTTTTGCTTTGCTGGGCGAAGCTGCAGTCTCAAAATATTGGATGACTCCCTCTGCTTTTTCCTTCCTTCTGTGGCTTCATCATGTGGTTCAGTTCAATCACATTCAGCGAAGTCTAGGTGGTTTTTGTGCATCTTTAAACCCTGATCCCAGTCTCCTGTACAGCACCTATGTGTTTGCATCCTTCCAAGACTGAGCTGGTTTTTGTAAACAGCACTCAGCGGCATGTTTCTCTTCTTTCTGGGAAATATATAATTTCTTTCTGCTTTGTTCAGTGTCACTGGCATACAGCTATCACTGCAGGCCTTCTAGAGGAATGTCAAAAGCCTCATCTTTTTTTCTAAGTGGATATATTTCCTGTAAGCGGTCACTCGACTTCCTAAATTCCCTCTGCCTGTCAGAGTTGCATTCCCAAAGGAATTACTTTCATTGCATATAATTTCCTGATATCATAGTATGAAGTTAGTCAAAGTATATGAACTAGAATTAGTTGGATAGCATTTTAAAACCTATTATCCAGGGCTGATACCTGCAAAATATTTTCAGTATTCCACACCTCACTCTCACAAGTCTTTACTAGCCTGGCTCTATGGCTATGAAGCTTTAGTAGGTAGGATAAACAGGGACTTCAGCTATTGTTCTTTTTTATTCTATTTTTTTAACTTCGGCAAGGACACTCAGAGCTACACAATGTCAGAATTAGTCCAGATCCATACAGCTTCTGGACCCCTAGTTTTGAAAAAAATATTTTTCAGGATTTTGTTTTGCTTCTCATTAAATATGTAATGCTTGCTGCAGTATATAGATAAAATATTTCAGTAAATGCTACAGAATTTTACTTTACTCATTATGCAAATTCATTACGGTAATTTCACATGGCCTGGATATCATTAATTCTTGATCCATTTTACATACCTAAGTTCCTCTCTAAGCAAATTTAAATCTCTTTTGAGAAGAACCTTTTTTTATTTGCTTCCACATAAAAACACAAATTAAAATGAGCCAAGCCTTCCTATGACACTTGAATCTCTTGGAGATTTAATTTTACTCTGATATATTGTTTGTTTTTCCATTTGTATTGGGAAAGGTCACGATTCTGTTGCCTTTCTTGTGTTTGAAAGTAATGTGAGAGGCCTCTTACTAAGAAGGCATAAGAGTGGTTGAGGTATAGGTGCATTTGCATGCCATGCAAAGAGAAGATGACAAATGCAACATCCAAGTTTGCCACAGTTTTGTGGCAAATGCTTTTGATATTTTGAATTTTGCACAAAGAAGTGATGCCTGGAAGTAAGGGCAGTGCTAACTAAAGTATGTTCCTTTAATACACTGGGCATTGGCTCAGTATAGATCTAGGCCAGGGGGTGTCTGGACAATGTTCTTGATCACAGGATTTAGTTTTAGGCGGTCCTGCAAAGAGCAGGGAGTTGGACTTAATAATCCTTTACAACTTGAGATATTCTGTGATTCTAAGTAGACCAAGCAAACCTGTCTTCAGGAAGGGCTATAAAAACATAAATACTCTTCTGTCATAGCTGAAGACAAAGAATTTGGCTGCAAAAGCAACCATATTGAAATGGTACTTTAGCTTCTGCTCACGCTGGTATTATTACTGAGCTCAGAAAAAGTGAATGCCCATGTGCTGGGGGACAGATTTGTGAGCTGATGCTATTCATGCAGTGCTTGGTAATGGATTGCTCCTATAAGGG